TGAGTTTCGTCCTTTATCATTTAGTCTTAATTGAAAGTTTATTACACTAATCCATTGTTAGTTTAAAGTTTAAACTCGTTTTTCCATCAATTAGTTACATTAGAGAAATACAAAAATCAAACAATTATGTCAATTTTGTGAATCTCTCAATCTAGAATTCACAACTTTTGGGAATTTTTTTTAACAATTAGCGTTTATTTTTGTAGACGAAAGAAAAAAACATGAAACATGGGACCTTCCATGTGACGTGAGAGATTGAGGTGAGTTCGTGGACCACTTATGCGATCATATAACTTTGGGAAATTAGATATGAAGGTAACACTTTTTAATTACACACTCATGGACTCACATGATATGTTTTCGGCTTTTTAAGTCCCCAAGTTTATATAATACAGGGATGACTACTTCATGTGGCACATAATATTCAATCACAAAACCGTAGTCTATAGATTTTCAATCCCCTTCTGTGGTCCATATCCGAATTGGAGATCAAAATACGTATGAGTCATATCTTTAGTCTATGACTTCAACACTTAGTCGTCAAAACGAACATCAAAATAAATGGATGGTCCAATCAATTATATGGGTCGAATTTCAATGACTTTATGCAGTTGAAGCTATTATTCTCTCTATAGTGTTTTTTCCAATTGTATAACTATGTTACATTTCTAGAACTAACAACACATGCATCTCTATTTTCTTTCATTTTACTCGTTGTTCACATTACAAGTTGGTATTTTTTTTTTTTTTTCTTATAAAAGATGGAGTGACCTTCAATTATAATTTTTATTTATTTCTTGATGGGTGGTACAAGTTATTAACTTTATTTTATTTTTGTCCTCGTGAAGTTGACCTTGCAACACACATGGAGCAAATTAATTTAGTAAGTTTTTCTAATGTTTTTTTCTAACTTTTTTTATTTAGTGAATTGTTAGATTAGATTGCCAACGATTAATTATATTTGCCATAAACTCATTTCGTATATACCCTCCAAAAGAAGTGAGAGTTGAAAAGGTAAGTAGAGAGAAAAGAACGAGTATGATCCATGTCCATGTCTCCATGACCTCTGCTAAAAGTAGAAAATAAGGCTGTTCCACATTTGATCTGGTTACTGTATTATTATTGAAACCGAAAATACTACTCATATATTATACAGAAAGTGCTTATATCCTTCAAAAAGGAGTTCACATGCTAAAAAGGGACATCATGCCATGCTAAATAAGTGAAATGATGAGACCAATCTCTCCATCAACATATTCATAATCTGTGATACTTTTCTTTTTCCAACATTATATATACTAAAGTGTGTATTATAATAAACTATGCATTTGGATAGTTTTTCTTTTTATATTGTGTTATCATAAACTAGACCAGTTTCACCTATTTTTTCTTACAAACATATGTATCATTATTTGTAAAATAAATTAGGTGATTCCCCGCGTATTACGCAGATGAAATATTTTCTAATTTCCTAAATATCAAACTAATTCGAAAAACTTCGTTGCATGGTTAAACATTACTAATGATGTTCGATTAAAATTGTAATCCTCTTAGATCTTCATCTTTTTTGTTTTTTTGAACATCTGCTTTATTCATAACATGAAAATTTACAAGTCGCATGACATGAATTGTTGTATACAATCCGGGATAAAATTATAAATACAACATGAAAAATACTGAGATTGTCCAATGCGAGCTAATCTATCTGCTATCACATTTTGTTGTCTCGTAACGTGAACAAATTGGACACCAGCAAAGAAAGTACTCCAATGATTGATATCATGAAGTAAGTTTTCCATTGCTATATCCCTATGGTGGTTGTGTAAGAGTTCCACCAATTGTTTTGAATCACTTTCAAAGATTATCCGTAGAAAACCTCGAGACCAAGCTAGTTGCATAGCATGAAGAAGGCAGAATCCTTCGGCTTCTAGAGCAGAATTAGCCTTTGGGAGGAAAGAAGAGGCCGCACACATGAATTCTCCATTTGAGTTCCTCATGATTCATCTTCTACCTCTTAGTTTACTAAATGAATTTATTTTCATTTTATATTTTATGTAGCTCGTGCTTTTCCACTATTTTTAACTTTTATTCTTCTGAAAAAAAAAAACAAAAATAATTAAAATGAGCATGATTTGAAGTAAACTTTGAATTAGGATGAAGAAATTGGTAAAACAATTATTTTCAAGGTTTTTCAAATTTTGAAGACAACATTCAAAAAGATGAAATCATTATACATTCTTTATTAAATTCAT